AAAAAAAAAAAAAATAAATAAATAAATAAATAAATAAATTAAATAAATAAATAAATAAATTTAATTATATATTGCAAAGAAATACAACAAAATACATATAAATAGATATATGCATATATAAACAAACATAAGAATAAATACAAATAAAAAATAATACTAATATAGTATTACAGTACTACAACACAATTGGGGTGTATAGGGAGCTCGGGTGTATAGGGAGGTCGAGTGTATAGGGAGCTAACAAGGAGAGAGCTCTTCTTAATTCTGCTGCAGTTTCTTTATGTACAATCATTTCTTTTAATAAAGACATTTCCCTCTCAGCAAATAAATAAGGTAATTCCTTTAATCGTAATGATTGTAGCTGCGCCTCTAGTATGCTGCTGCTGCTGCTGCTGCTGCTGCTGCTGCTGCTGCTGCAGTTGCTGCTGTTGCTGCTGTTACTGCGAAGACGGGGATCGTGATTCTGTAACTCAAGACCCAATGGGAGTGGTGCTGCTGCACCACATACAAGGTTCAGTGCATTGCTATTGCTGTTGCTGCTGCAGTTGCTGCTGCTGCTGCTGCTGTTGCTGCCCATAGGGTCACATGGCAGCAACTGCTGCTGCTGTCTATACACCTCACGACCTTCATTTTGCCAAGTAGAGGAAGCAGGAGCAGAATTAAAAGAACACACTGCATGCATAGATCCACTAGAAGCAGCAGCAGCAGATCCAGCAACAGCGGACTCCGCTGCTCCTGTTGCTGCTGTTGCTGCTGCTGCTGCATGCATATCTGCAGCACAAGGGAGAGAACTATGATATGGTGATGGATGCATCGATGGACCAAAATGTTGCTGTTGCTGCAGCTGCAATTGAAGGTGCTGCTGCTGCTGCTGCTGTTGCTGCTGCTGTTGCTGCTGTTGTTGCTGCTGTTGCTGTTGCTGCTGCATCTGAAGTTGTTGCTGCTGTAGCTGTAGCTGCATCTGCTGCTGCTGCAGTTGTTGCTGTTGATCATGAAGGGGTGCCATATGGTGGTGTTGCTGCTGCTGCTGCATAGGTCCATACATATGCATAGGCTGCTGCTGCTGGTGCTGCATATGCATATGCATCCTTTGCTGCTGCTGCTGCTGTTGCTGCTGCTGCATGTTAATGTGTTGCATGTGTGCATCTGCTGCTGCATGTTGCATGTGTGTATTTTGTTTGTACGAAGCCCCATTATTCCATGGCGCTGCGTCTGCTGTTGCTGCTGCTTCTGCTGCTGCTGTTGCTGCTGCTTCCTGTGCTGCTGCTGCTGCTGCTGCTGCTTTCTTATGAGCATTAGAGGGACTACCCCCTATAGGTGTACCTGTAGGGGAGACACCGAACTCGGGTGTAGATATGCTGCTGCATGCATGCAGAGGACTTAATAGATCTTCTTCTGTTGTTAGATGTGTTGCTGCTGCTGCTGCTGTATCTGCAGCAAATATCTCATCTTCTTGTCTTGCTGCAGCAGCAGCAGCAACTGCTGCTGCTGCTGCATGACATGCTGCTGTTGTACTTGCTGATGGAGCAGCAACACTCTTGCCGCATGTGCTGCAGTTGCTCTTGTTGCTGCTGTTGCTGCTGCACCTGTAGTTGCTGCAGCAGCAAGTACTCCCATCTATGCTGCGTCTTCCTGATCCTCTTGCTGCTCCATCCCCAGCTGATCCTCGACGCGCAGGACCTGCTGCAGCAGCAGCAGCTGCTGCTGCTGCTGCTGCAGCAAGGGTGCGTGGGTTATGCCGGCTGTGGCATTTAGATGCTGCTGCTGCCTCTGCAGCAGCAGCAGCATTCTTGCGGAGACACGGCTGCTGCTGAACTGCTGCTGCAACACGAGCAGCCTTAGCCTCAGCAGGACTCAGCGATCGGGTTCTGCTGCTGCTGCTGCTGCTGCTGCTGCTGCTCGTAGCTGCTGCTGCAGCAGCAGCTGCAGCAGCAGAAGCCTTTGTGTGTCTGTATGGAGGAGCAGATCTAGTACGCATCTTAGCGGGTGCTGCTGCTGCTGCAGCAGCAGCAGCAGATGGGTGGCGGCCACTGGACCTAGATAAGTCTTGCTGCAGAGAAAAAAGAAAAAGAAGAATAAATAAATGAATAAATAAATAAATAAATAAGTTATTGAGGTGTATATACACCTAAGTTGTATAACTTACTTCCTCTGATAAACTTTGTACAACGTCAGAGAAAGACAGCACTTTGCTGCTGCCAGCTGCAGCTGCTGCTGCTGCTGCTGCCTCTTCCATATCCTGCTGCCCGTGCTGCTGCTGTTGGTAGCGTTGCTGTTGCAACCTGCGCTGGTGCTGCTGGTATTGATGCTGCTCGAACTCCTGCTGCTGCTGCTGCGGGTGCTGCTGCTGCTGCTGCGGGTGCTGCTGCTGCTGCTGCTGCTCTTGTTCTGTATAAGAATCTCCTGGTGCAACACCCATAAGGAAGTGTGGGGCAGCAGAGATCTGTGTAACGTGGGCAGCATCAACTACAACAGCAGCAGCAGCAGCAGCAGCTGCTGCTGCTGCTGGTGCTGCTGCTTCTCCTGCTGCTGCAGCAGAAGATTGAGAGGAGGCAGCAGCTAACCCCTCTAATGGCTGAATAAGAAGGCGATTTCCTTCCTGAAGAACATATAGATCTTTCCCCAATGCTACCTGCAGCACTTTGCTGCTGCTGCTGCTGCTGCTGCTGCTGCTGTCATTTAAGGGTACAAGAGTAGGTTTGCTGTTGCCGTCTTTTCCTCCCCATATGAATATTCTTCCATCTCTTGTTTGTGCAAGAGATGCATCTGCTGCTGCTACACCAACTGTGCAGTGGCCACTCAGCTCAGATACCTAAAGAGCAGCAGCAGCAGCAGCAGTAGCAGCAGTAGCAACAGCAGCAATTGCAGCAGCAATTGCAGCAGCAACAGTTGGAGGTTCAGCGTCTTCTTTGGATGCAGATGCGAATGCAACAAAAAGAAGAAGGATTAGGGGGAAAATAAACTAATTAAAATAAATATACTAAACTAAATAAATAAATAAAATAAATAAATAAATAAATAAATATAATTAATTAATTAATTAATTAATTAATTATAACTTACAACTTGTGGTGTCATTCTATCATCGAAGTGTCCAAGTCCTAATTGTCCATAGTTGTTTCTTCCCCAGGTGTACGTACACCCCAAATCTGTATATAAATTATACAACAAATATAAATTTATTTATATATTTTATTTATTTATTTTATTTATTTTATTTATTTATTTATTTATTTTATTTACCTGTAACAGCAATAGCATGATATAATCCTGCGGCGATTTGTTGAATCTTTCTCTCATTAAATTTTACTTTTGTTGGACTATAACGACCTGCATATACACCACAATCACAGCAGCAGCAGCAGCAGCAGCAGCACCAGCAGCAGTAGTAGTAGTAGTAGTAGTAGTAGTAGTAGTAGTAGTAGTAGTAGTAGTAGTAGCAATAGCAACAGCAGCAGAAG